GGGGAAGATTATGTTTGCTTAACAGGGTATTGTAGCCTAAACAACTTCATTTCTAGCACAGCATAACACTTGATTAACAAATTCTATATGCCTTCTATTACAGACTTCACCCATTCTAAGCACCCATTCAGTTCCTTTCTCCTAGCAGCTGCCACTGCTGTCAGCACACCGAAACAAGGCTTCTCCAAATGCTCTTTGGCATTAAGCAGCCTAAGAAAGAGATGTGAAACAGCGAGAGGCACAGCATATTATTCCTAAATATTGTTTGTGCAGTACTCACATTTAACATGCTGGCCATACACGGCTTTCATTTCCTCAGTTAAGCAATTAATTACATGCAGTGTTTTCCCTCTTCTCAGCATCAATAGCGAGAAACCTCCATCCTGGGTTCCACTGCCGCCACCACCTCTGCGGCAGGAGCAAAGGCTCCCACCTTAGCGCCCAGGCTAGTCAATAAAACAGCGCATCGTTCCCCCCCTTGCCGCTGCTAAAACTGTTCCTCACCTGACAGCCGCTACCCTTGCTGAAGTGGCACTTCTCACCAGAACACCTGAAATGACCCACACAGACACACCAGGGCAGAATCGGTGCTTGTTTTTACTTAAGTATTTAGATAGCTCATTATTGCCATCTTCAAACATAGGTCAATAAATACAAAATTAACAAAAATGTCAATAGATCTTTATTACCTTCTATTATTATTAATAATTATTCCAAACCAACTGTGATTCCCTGGAGATGTCTGACTATCGTTCAAACATGAAATGTACACAGTGTCCCTTACGATATTGCATTTGTTTTAAGCTTATAAAAATATATATTAACTTCTGAAGTATGTATTTACAGTATATCACATGTGGTTAATGAATATCAAAAAGCATCTGGAGATGAGCCAACTTGATTCCAGTTTTGGTTTCACACGAGGGGGAGAGGAACATCTCGTGGAGACGTTCCCAGGAGGAACATCGAGAAAGCCCCAGAACAGGTCTCCTGGGGGCTTCCCGCAGACGAGCTGAGACACGGCCGCTTGCTCCGCTCCTCCCGTTTGTAACCAGCCTCTGCTCTGCCCGAGCAGCTGAAATCCAACCCTCTCGTAACTGTATTTACGAGCTCCAGCCGAGCCTGCAGATCACAAAGCACTCGCTCTTTTCCCTTCTCTGAACAAGCCCGTTAAGGGCACCGCTGACAACAGGGCTCTTGGCTCGACCAGCCCTGACCCCTCCTCGCATTGTTGAGACCAGGGCTCCACAGCTGAGGGAGGGGGAAGGAGCCTTGTGCCACCTCAGAGGCTGGAGGGGCAGAGACTGAGACCCCTTGGAGGGCATTTCCCTTGGTCGAGCAGCTTCAAAGCAGCCAATTAATTTAATTATAAGGCATCAAATGCTTCCCCAAAGAGAGATGCTGAGAGGATGCAAGTTAATTTTAAAATCATAACAACAATCTATAGCTTAATCTGCTCATTTTATTATCTTCAGCACTGATGAGGAGCTCAATTAAAAGTGTTTATTGCTGCAATGAGCTAGACTAGAAAGCACACTTCCATCAGGTGCTTTTCCTTTTCTTTCTTGAAGGAGAGGCCAGGAAAGCAAATTCCTCCTGTTTCTGCCGAGTTGGAGCACAGCCCCTTCCACAGCACCACCCCATCTAAAAACCAGCTTTCTGAAACAGCACACCCGAGTCCCTCATTAGAGTAAGCCAGAAAAGTAATTAAACACTGAATTTCTTTTGGGAACAGCTAGAGACTCAGACAAAGAAATTACACCTTCAATTCTGACTGTGCTGGAGAATGTGCTATGGGAGCCTAATTCAGTAGGGGAAACACTGCAGAAATGATTGAAAGATGGTCTCATTTTCACTCGAGTGCCCTAGCACACCAGGCACTCACACAAGGAGCTGGCTGAGGAGGCTGCGGGGCTGCCAGCCCCGGGCACGGCTCCCGGCAAGGCACCGGTCACTGCAGCCCAGGAGAAACCTCCAGGGCTTCAGGTAAGCGGCGCTGAGGCTCCTCCCCAGCTCCTGCTGAGGTTTCTCTCTCCAGCCAGGACACGTTCAGAGGGACTGAGGACCAGATCCCAGCAGCTCTGAGTTCTCCTTGTGTCCGTAACTGTGGAGACCAGGTCTCTCCTGGGGGTTCAAGAGGAACCTGTCACTGCCTGCACAGGGCCAGGACTGTTTCCCCAGCTCTGAAGCACCCTGTCCCCCCGTCACCAAGCCCTGGATTTCCCCAGACCTCCTTGAAAGTGGCTGCATGGACCTGGAGCCAGCTCCCCTCCGGCAGCGACCCCCCTGCACCCTGACGCAGGTGGCTGTTGGAAATGCTGGCGGATGGGGGAGAGCATCTGCAATCAAGTTGGTTCAACTCCCTGCCTAGAGAACTATCATATATTTTCTCTATAGATAAAATGTAAACATAAACAGCATACAAATTGCACTTGATCCTTGGGATCTGGCATTTCTGCCACATGAAAGTTTCGGTTCACCATTATCACTCTTCTGGGTGTGAAACAGCAGGATGGCGAGTGACCAGCCAGACCAGAGCCAAGCTTAAAGAGAAATCATTTCTGGTAAAAAAATAACCAAGTGACATGGGGGAACACTGTTTAAACTGCAGAGGTGGCTGGAAGGAGAGAGCAGCAAACTCCCCGGAGCACACCTGGCACTGTCTGTGCCCTCAGACCGCGGCAGCTCTGGCTCCCACACGGTGAAGGTCCCTGCCCCCAGCTCTGCACACACGGGTCCGCGCTGGCTCACGCTCCCCTTCATGGATGCTCCCAGGAGCTTGAAACCCACATAGGGGAAGCCTGCGGGACCCAACCATGTGGTTCTCACCATGGCACAGCCAGGGACCACCGGCACAAGGCAGAAAACTGATAACCCAGCATCATCTGGCACCTCCTCAGACCACCGGCTGGTGATGATCAGGCAGAGAGTTCTGATCTCTGCCACAATCAAGTTAAAATATGTGAAAACATGCTAGGTTCGAGCATGGCCGAGTGAGAAGAGCCTGGGGGGTGTGAAAAGCAAACCACCATTAACTGAGCCTTTCCCAACCAAAGCTGGATCCCCAGGGCAGCCTGCTCTGCCACCCCTCTGCCTCACCGCACAGCCGGGACGGAAGGGAGATGCGGGCACGGGGCAGGTGCGGTGCCAGCCCTGCGAGAGGCTGTCCCAGGGCTCTTCACATCCTCACCCTCCCGCAGCAGGCTAACAGGAAGATCTGACTCCAAAAGATTTCCAGCCACGCTGTGAACATCTCCCACAGCATTCATTCCCTTTGTAAATCTTTGCCTTTCATCATTAATAATTCACTCGCAATACTTACAGAGGATAATAAAGGGCCTACAAAACTCCGTACAACGCTGCAAAGACCCATTTAATTAACTAACTTCAAGGAAACTTGTATTATTAAGCAGATGCTACTTATGTCTTCCATCAGGGATCAGGTCCGCATCAGAGGGAGCTGCCAGCATGCACGGCAGGCAGCACCACACTACTGCCTGCAACGAAACAAAGTGCTGACACACCCTGGTTTGCCTGGATTGCACGGTGGGATCTGGGGGATGCCACAGCTGCAAGGGTCAGTTCTGCCCAAGCCCCAGGGTCTGGCTGAGGGGTGCAGGCCCTGTGGCACAGCCCCAGCACCCAGAGCCCATCACAGCTGCCCAGGAAGTCAGCAAAGCAAGATGCAAAGCTGCAAGGCAGAAGAAAGCAGGGAAGAGAGGCTAAAGCAGCAACTGGTGCTTTAGCATCAGTCCTGCACGGGCGGCAGGTCTCTGCCCGCGGGCTCAGGCTGCGTGTGGGCAGCAGCACTGCTGCTCCTCTGCTCTGAGCTCCCCCTCGCTGTGGGGCTGCAGCAGCAGGACGAGGGGCCGGGACCTGCACGAAAGGCAGCGAAGGCTGAGAGTATCAGCAGGGCAGCCCAAGGGCTCCTCTGCCTGCCCTCTCGCAGCTCTGGCTCTCCTCATCAAACCATTTCCTTTCTTCCCCTCAAACTGTCAAGACAGCCTTAGAAACATTCAGCACCATTGGCTCTGCACTTTAGAGGAGAGTATTTGGTTTTGTTCACCAAATGTGGCATCAAGACTCAGTGAAGTAACTCTAGGAGCAGAAGGGACGCGGCTGGGAAACAATTTCCTTCAGCACAGCAGATGGGGAAAGTCACCTTCCAGAAGTTGGGTGCTGGGTGTGAGCTGTGCTCCGGTCTCTAAAAATAAAAGCAATAAAAGCTCCTTGTGGGGTTGCTAGAACATGTCAGCTTGTATAAAAATACCCGGTAAGATGCTAGGTAGGAAAATGCTGTCAGCTCTGGATTAAGACAGTGCACAAATGTCCATCCACCCTGTTAACCTAATTACCATATGAAATGGCATCGTTACAGTTCAACTTGTCTTAGAAAACAGTGCTGGGAGAGCCACATCCACCCAGGCACACAGCTCGGTCCCAGGAATCCTTCGCTTCCCTGGCACAGGGGACGGGAAGCCCTGCTCTCGAACGACTCATTTGGCCACAGCCCAGCGACTCCTACATCCCACCTGGCACCGTGAGGTTTCGGAGATTCGGTCCGGTGCGGGGCTGGCGGCTGCCTCGTGCCCAGGAGCGCCGGGTCAGTGCTCTGCGCCTCCGTGGGGCTGCCTCACACCTGCACCCCTCGGCCGTGCATCTGGATCACCTGCGCCCGGAGCATCTGGATCCCGCTCAGGATGGTCTTCTGGTGCTCGGCCAGCGTGATCCCCAGGCTGAGAACATCTCTGCAAAATGAGCCCCGCATCAGCCACGAAAAACAAGCCCAAACCGTAAAGTGTCCCAGGTCCCAGGCAGGGCAGCACAGGATCCAGGCTCTCAGGGCACTGTAGACCTGCTGGAGCAAGAAACCCCCAACCCGCACCCCAGCCAAAGCAGTAAGGACCCTGACAGGGAGCCCAGGGTAAGCCGTGCCTGCAGCACAGCAGGCGTGAGACGGCTCCAGCCCTGCAGAACAGGTTGTCAGCTAACAGCATCTGACCTGGCTCTGCTTTCTGGAAGGGACAGGAAACACTGCTCTTGTCAGGAACTAGACGCTGAAGCCCAGGTTTAAATCTCAGCTTCAGAACCCAGCAGGTGAGACACACAACACAGACAGCCCACCCCACACCAGCGAGCTCTTACAGACGTGTTTGGAAGATCCATCCTCCTGTTTAGCGATGCCCGACTGACGGAAAAGCAGAGCTCGCTCACACTGCGCCCAGTGACATGAGGTTACAGAGCCAGGAAACGAGTTCACTTACTGGGCTGTCATCCTGGCCACTGACTCCAGGTAGCAGTAGCCCGCAGCGGTGAAGTTGTCTTTGTACCTGCCCATTTC